GCAGTTTCAGTTTTGGCTCCTGAGAATTTTCTTGTTTCTTTCAGGTTTGAACAACTTTCTCTCTTCTCTGCTTTGATTTTTTCTAGATCGAAATTTCACTGTTTACGTTCAGATAACCAGAGAATTGGATTTCGATCTATCCTTTGGTTATCTTGTTTTCAAGAATCAGTTCAGTTCAAAACTGAAAATGAAAGTCTGAATTGGAAAAATATCTAATGATAATGCGTTTTTGTTTTTAAAAAATCTTCCTTTGTATTCCTGGATTTGTTGTCCTTGTCTCTTGTCTTTACCGAGATTAATCTAGTGGATGTCGTCATTAAACAATTCGAAAGTTTGTCTAAGATTATAAAAATGCATCTTTACAAAAAATTTAGCTGTTTTCACTGATAGATTTAGGGTTTATGTTACTGTCCTTCTTATGCTTGCTTCAAGTTCTAATCTTAACCATCTTTTTTTAAAACCACGAGATCTGTAACTCTTATCCATTTCCACAGAAAATTGAGTTCATTTACTTCGTAGTTTCTCTTACCAAATTCCATGGCCATTGATCTAATACATGCAAAAACGGATCTGGGTTTTCGAAAAACTATGTCTTTGTTGTGTATATCATTGTTCTCGTTGCTAAAAGTTTGTGTCTTTTGAATCATTTTTCAGATGAAACTGTGAGTTGTATGCATTCGAAGGTTCGAGTTTATGTATACAAGAATCCCTGTTGCGTTTTCATAGAATCAGAGTGGTAATCACAAACAGAGTTTGAAAAGATGGTTTTAGGGTGTTTCCCTTTGAAAAGCAGGAAGAAACGTGGCTCTGCTTCAATGAAGCGGATGGATCCTGAAGAAAGTAAGCCAACTGCTTTACCTGAGCCACCAAAGATTCCAAGCCGGAATCTGCAATCTGCTCCTCCGAGTTTCAGGACTCGAGTGAAGCCAATTCACCCGAATAACGGTGGAACCGGAGAGAAGGGTAGCAGGGCAAGAGTGATGTCTGCTCCGTCGAGCATTCACGGTGCAGCGGAACGGGATTTTCTTGCAGGAGTTTACCATGACGAGCAAGATGAGCAACCTAGAGATCCACGTATCTCTACTAAAGAGTCTAGCCCTCAACCTCTTCCGCTACCTTCGCCTAAGACTGGTTCCGCGTTGAAGAATTGGGGAAGCTTTAAATCGTTCAATGGTCGATTATCCGCATCCTCAGCATCTGGACCTTTGCCTTTGCCACCTAGCGGAACTGTTAGGAGCTTCTCGTATGAGGAAGTAGTGTCCGCTTGTTGCACCTTTGCTTCAGAACGATGCGTCTCTGAAGGTCTTTCATCTATTATGTATATGGCTTCCTTTGGTGATGAGGTTTCTACCGCGGGCTTAAAAAAGGTCGAGGCAATTGTTGTGCGTCTAACCGCAACAACCCAGGTAAATAAGCATTCGTTGATATTGTTATACCACAGAATCAAGAAGAGATCTATGTGTTTGTTTTCTTACAATAATATCTTATATTTATTATGGTTATTCCAGAGTATCAGGGAGTTCATTAATGAAGTGAGCACATTGGCGTCGCTGCAACACCAGAATCTCTGTAAATTGGTAGGCTATCATGCCCGTGACGGATCTGAGACAAGAATGTTGGTGTATGAGAGGCTTGCACATGGGAGCTTGGACCGTTTGCTGCACGGGAGATCAGATGGGCCTCCGCTTGATTGGAACACTAGAATGAAGATCGCTCTATGCGCCGCTCAGGGTTTAACCTTCTTGCACGAAGAAGGGCCATTTCAGGTAATGCATCGAAACCCATCAAAGTCTCGAATATGGGCATTTGTGTGAAGAACAAATAAGTAATTGAGTATTTTTTCTCTCTCTCTGATGAAACAGGCAATGTACAATGAGTTTTCGACGGCTAATATCCAAGTCGATAAAGATTTCAGCGCCAAGATATCAGGATATGGTTGCGCAGGGCTTGTGCCTGAGACTGAGGCCTCTAACAGTCCAGCCCTTGCCAATCTCTCGGTCGAGACACTAGAGAGAGGGCTTTTGACACCAAAGAGCAACGTGTGGAGCTACGGAATAGTTCTTCTTGAGATATTGACCGGGCGGAAAAACATGGACGGGTCATATCCGAAAGAAGAGAGGAACTTAGTGAAGTGGAGCAGAGCTTTCCTAGCTGACGACTGCAGGCTCTCGCTCATAATGGATCCACAGCTTAAAGGTCGGTTTCCTGCGAAAGCAGCAAGGAGCATAGCGGATATAGCACAGAAATGTCTGCAAGTGGAGCCATCAGAGCGTCCGACCATGAGAAACATTGTTGATCAGCTCAAGATCATACAAGACATGAAGTACTCGTGTAGGTTTCCGTTAAGAGAACCCGCACCGGTCGCTGCAAGGAAGCATATGGGAAGATCAAGCAGTCTCAACACCATTATTTGGACCCCGGGTGCAGCGCCACCAAGGACTAGCTTTTCACCGTCGCCTCCACCTCGACGTCCGTCGGTTTCGCCCACAAGGGGACGGGCGCTCGTGTTCCCGCCAGTGTTTCCGCCGCGAGCATGTTCGTCGTTGGAGGTGATGAGTCGGGAAGAGGTTCGAAGAAGATCGTCTTCAACCAGTGGTAGGAGGACTAGCCTTGAAGGGTTTTGATTTGTTCATATCTCTCTTCTTCTTTTTCATATTTGTCTTTCTTTTAATTGTTGGAGTTTGATTTGTTTTTGGATTCCAAATATCAAAAATTTCTTTTTCTTTTTCATCTTTTTTTGAATCCGAACGTCGAGAAAGGGAGTTTATGATCTTGTACATAATCAACATTTTTCTTCTTCAGATAAAAAAGATATTCAAACTATTATTATCGGAAACTAATAATCATAATCTAAGTATCGTAATAACCAACTTTGGATTGGAATAATCTATTTGGACAACTAAAAATTTGAAAACTACTAAAAATTATGTACTTTAGAGTATCCAAAAATAGAGCTAATGAAAATTTGTAAAATTCTGCAGATACACTTTGGATAATAATTCTTGCTGACCAAAGTATTCAGAACCGGTCATAATCTAGTGTTAAACCGGATATACAATTGAACCGAGTTACGTTTCGGTTTGTTTTTGGTGTCCTCATTACGGTTAACCGATCTTCCTCCTCTCCCTTATGTAACCTTATCCAGCGATTCAGACTCGGCGTCTTCAATTTTTTTCGCCGGCGGAATAACAAAATGGCGGGAAGAGCGACA